GGGAGGATGTGGGACACTCCCTGAACTCAGCAAGAACCCTTTCTGGGTCCTCTCGGTTGATTTATGGCATCTCTGTGGCCTCAGTATCCTAAACTCAGATATAGAAGTCCCACACTTCCACACTCCACCCTGTCGGGACTCTGGATGTTGTCCTGGCCAGGACACAGGGACTCCTGGGGGTGGGGCCAGGGCCCTGAGACCCACAGCCTGGTCCTTGCTTCTTGACTGAACAGAATTGAAGAGACTAAACTCAAAGGAGGAGGGAGCTGGCAGGCAGCCTGGGGATCCAAATGTGATGGGGAGGGCAGGGGGAAAGTGTGAGTCATGGAGGGAGTCAGAGGGAGGCAGGACGGAGGTGGAGGGCTTGGCAGAGGGACCCAATGGGCAGGTCAGAAGAAGAGAAGGAAGGGGGAAGATGGGATAAGAGGGAGAGGAGGAGACAGAGAACCTGGAAGACACCCCAGAAACAAGTTGGGGTGTTTGTAGGTGGCTTGTTATCTAGCACTGGAAGCCTGGCTTAGGCCTCTGATAAGGAGGCAGGAGCCCAACCCCAGAGTGGCCTAAGCTCCAGCCTGGATATTCTTCAAGATGACACCCAAAGGGTGGGGGAGTGGAGCTGCAGGGAATGGTACATTCCGGCACCGAGACCTTTGCTCATGGTAGGATATGGCTTCCAGAAGGAGCAGGGGATGGTGGTGGCAGGCAGGAAGACCAGCACCTTACCCACCATGGACTACCCACCATGGCCACTGCTCTGCCCTCCCCCCAGTGGCCGCATGAAGCCCTTCCTGTTTTCTTGCCCCTTCCCTCCCCTCACTTGGCTGGGTTGCTCCCAGCCCCAATTTGGGAAACTGAGTCCTAGAGAACCAGGCTTAGCCACTCAGCTAGCAGCACATCCAGTAATGGGAGGCGCCAAGGGGACCTCAGAACCCCTCACCCTATTTTGCCTCCATAGCTTGGAGCCGTCACTCCCAGAGGTCTTGGCGACTCAAACAACTTGGTGCACCTAAGGGCTGTCTCTCCCTGGGACCAGTCAGGAACACAGCTAGGGCTCCACTGAATGGCGTCACGAGAGTCTCCTTTCATGGCTCTGGCCTGAGTCTCACCTGTGACACAGGCACAGTTGCTAATGGATATTTCTCCTCCTACCTAGTAGCCTGTGTAGTGGGGGAAGGTCACACAGGGGATAGGTGCCCCCTGGTCTCCAGGAGGGTCTGGGCGTTGAGATGCTCACCATCCTGCCGAGGTGCTGGGTTGCCCTGGGCAGGATCGTTCAAGGGTAAAGCCATTCTGCCTGGGCAGGGGAGATGGAGTAGCTGGAGCAGGTCTGTGCTCCAGTTCTGGATAAGTAAGGGGCTCAGGAGCCCAAGAACCATGGAAGATGCTCCTTTCATGGGCCTGATGCAGGGTGGAAGGGATGGAGGGAGCACCTTGGGAGCCAGGACCCCAAGGGTGCCAGCACCTCTTCTTCCTCATAGGCATTCCCAGGACTTGTGGAAGGT